CTTTCTTTCTTTCTTTCTTTCTTTCTTTCTTTCTTTCTTTCTTTCTTTCTTGTGTTAGACCTTGTTCTTTGGCCTATTTGTGTGACTGGGAGCTTTTAAGCAGATGCACTTCAGTGAAATGGGCCTGCCTTCATTTTTACCTAGCCATATTTGATGACTTAAACAGATTTCTCTAAGAAAAGGAGGTTTGTGGAGACATCAGTAAGCATACATGCTGTAACCTTATTTATGCTTGGTCTTTTCAACATGTGTATAATAAAACAGTTAGAAAATAATTCCAGAGTTTTAATGTGTTAAATGTTTATTTGAAGTGATGTGAATTGGACACAGCCAGGAGAGAAGAAACTAACTGGAGGCTCCAACTGGCAACCTAAAATTGCACCTACGACAGCATGGAATGCTCCAACAATGGTAGGTCATCGTCTCACTCATGGGGGTCTTAATTCAGCAGCTCAGAATGTACTGAGGAAGTGTCAGCAAGAGTTTTCACAGGAGATGTAGAGAACATGGGAATTCACAGTTGGTGCCCAAAATAACCTGATTTCACTTGGATTATATCTGATTTGGTACTTATTGGTCACTGTACAAAGTCAGTCTTATATTAAATGAGTTCTATTAAATCTATTTAATTCTATCAAAAAATCTCATAGCACATCACTCAACTTCTGTCTTAAAAGATGACTTGAGCTGCTACAGAAGGGTAAAATATTGTTCTTGATTGACTTAAGTAGTTAGTGAATATGAGAATAAACAGGTTCATTGTTTCATCTCAGGAGTTATCTCATCATTCCTCTGCAGAACTAAAGACTGCATATACAATCTGGGTTTAGTTGATCCACGATTTATGAAGCTAAGAATCATTCAGAATTAATGGGGAAACCCTGGTGTAATGCAGGCCAGGAATGAAGCATTTTATTGAGGTTTTATTGAGGTTTTATGGTACTGGGGGGTTTATTGTATTGGGGGTTTTAATGTATGGTTGACTTTTTTTGATGATGTGAGCCACCCTGAGGCTTATTGCGATGGGGCGGCATAGAAATGTTATAAATAAATAAATGAATGAATGAATGAATGAATGAATGAATGCTCTTTCATGGCTTCATAAAATGTAGTTTATTAATCTGGGAAGGCCACTGAAATCTCACCATAGGGTCCCCCCCCCCATAATATATTTATTTGTTTTTTGATACTCTTGTGTGTTTGCTGAGATCATGGGAGTGGTGAAGGTGGGAAAAGGGGCTCTCTCAGGAAGCGTTAGGGAGAGGAAGTGCTGTTCTCCACAGCAAATGCCCACCTACTTCCATTCGTTCAAGGGGGGGAAATAACTTATAAATTGCCTGGAGGGCACCTTCTGGGAAACTTGGCAGAAAGGGGAAAGGATAGAGCACCCCTTCCTACCTTCTAGTTCTTTCCCTCAAAGGCAGTCATCCGTTGAAGGAAAGTGGAGTTAGGAATCCTTAACCCTTCCCTGTAACTCCTGGTTCTGCCTAACTTCTCGTGCCCTTTGCTTCTAAATATACTATTTGACAATGTAAGAGTAAAACTGTCAGGCTACAGTTGTGGGGGAAATGTGCTAGAATGCTATTTATATAGAGAAAACCAGGAGCGAGAGAGATTGATTGATTGATTTGTGGGGGGGGGGGGTTTACAGGGGGGCATCCTAGCCCCAGCATGTGCTACAGGAGAAAGTCTGTGCCATGGCATAATCAAAGCTAAGGGCTTTTTAAATGAACTGTTAGGATAGGAAGGACTAATCCACTTCCTTTCATCTTCTGTTTTAATTCTACTTGTCTCTGACTCCCTTCTGAATGCTTTGCTTTTAATTGGTGGATTCTAGTATTTCTGAAATTGCTGGTTTTGAAAAGCTTGCCTACATAAACACATTAATACATGTCATCACAGAGGTTGTGTTGTGGGCTTTTCAACCTTGTCAGTGTCCTTCTTTATCAGATGCTTCGTTTTAAGTGGCTTGGATTACAAGAATTTATATTTCAGGGTTGTTAATTACACTTGTGACTAAAATGCTCTGTGTATATTCTGTTGTGTAAGTACTCATTTCTAATCCAGTGTTATTGCATTATGTAATTGTTCTTCCGGGGAAAAACAGAATGGCATGCATTTTCCACAATACGTAAGTGAACAAAACATGCAGCCTTTTTTGCAATCAAAGTGGCATGCTGATATTAACCACTACAGCAGAATCTCATAATCCTGCTACTCCACACTTTTCTTATGTTAAGATCTTTGGGCATGATGGAATTCTTGAGCAGCTTCTAGCATATCCAGATCTTATGGGTGTCCTGCAGGCCTCTTGACGCCAGTTATGGCATGGAAAATACTAAGATGATTTTTTCTTGCTTTAAATTCTGCCATTTGCTGCCGAATAGCTGGTGTGTGTGTGTGTCTGTATTGCCTTTTTTAATGCATTTGAATAAATTAAATAAAAAAGGCACTTGTGCGTGTGAATAACTGCATGAAACCTCACAGGCTTCTGTTCACACTCCACTCTTTTGTAGATTTGATTTCACCTAGGGAGAGACCAATATGTTCCAAAATACTAAACGGAGTGAAAGATCCACACCCGTTTAGTTGTGTTTATGAAGGGCTGATTGAAATTTCTGAAATATCCTAAGAAGAATTCCATCTCATTTCAGCACAAAAAGGTGTAATCATGGTGGTTAAAATGGCTACTCAACCCCCCACAAATGACCAGTCAGCCTAATTGCTCATAGGTGTCAATAAGAGCTAAAGAATGAAGTCACTAATGGGTTTAATGTATTCCAAATACTTATTTAAGGTAAGTTTCTTAATTGATGGTGGCATCATCCCTTTTTTACAGTTGCCTTTGGTGTGAGTTAGTTACCCAACCTGATTTTTACATGGATATTGTGACTGAGTTGCCTTACATCAAAAATCCTACTGATTTTAATTCTTTAGCTCTTCTGAATATAGCAATACGTCACTTCAGCCCTTCCATGTTACTGTTGGTCTTTCCCTGTATTCTTTTCATTTTGGGACAATCCGAAGCCAGCCTTAAGTACTTATAAGCCCAGCAGTTTTATCTATGCGCTCATATGCATAATTTGCTTATTCAGCTGTATGAATGTTAATTGCTGTCATTTCATTAAACAGGATAGTTATGGCAAGTTGAGTTTGTCCAGTGGGCATTGGGGTTTTCAGGAGCAATCCTTTTTTAAAAGTCATGTGGTTCTTCATCCCTGCCCCACCCCCATTCCAGGGAAACTTGTTTTTCAGAGGGTTTACCTAAAGGCACAGCTGCAGTAAAGGCATGATATGGAACAGTTCTCCCGGATTCCCTCCTTAACTTCAGTGGGATTTGTGCTGGGGATGTTCCCTGTGTGGGTTATGTGCTTGGGTATTGCTCTGTGTTGCCATATTTTATAGGGTTTCTTCCACTTTCCAAGATTACTGCCATATGATGCAATGGAGCATCTAGGAGTGAAGTTTCCAGTTAGGTATATAAGAAAACTCATTTCTTAAGCTTCAGAGATTTGGAGGTGGAAGTGATATATTTCATGAGTTGCCTGTTTGCTCTTAACAGTGCAAAAAACAAAAACAAAAAACCCAAGTCCTCATGCTATCCAATGTTTTACATGTTCCAGAGGGTCTTGGCTGTGGTGGTGGTTTTGAAGGCTAGAGTTTCTATTTGAAGATGCTTATCTTCATGATCTGCTCATGCTTTTATATTTTAAAAAGATAATAACCTGCCGTTTACTTCAAGTTTTCTTTTAGCCTCCTCTTCCTTTTTAGGACCACAAAAGCTTAGTTCTGTTCAGGCAGATGTGCTCACAAGTGCACCTGTTAAGCTTCACGCTGTTACTGAGTGTGCCCCTGTGTGTGTGGAGCCCAGCAAGTAGGATTTAATTTTCGTAACGGCTTTAGGCATGGATTGATAGGAGTATTTTGGGGAACACTCACTAATCACTTTATTCAGGATGCCAAGCTAAAAATACAGCGAGGGTGCTCGTACCTCTTACTTGGATCAGGTTGGCCACCACCCATAGTGTACAGCCTTGTACATTTGCAACTGTGTCCGACTTAAACATCGATGGCTTACCAGCGGGCAGACCAATGCGAGCTTTCTAGGAAGCTGCCAGATTGTGGCCCTGTCAATAATCAACTGATTGGCTGTCAGTGATCTCTGCAATCGAACCATTTCACTGCTGTGACCTCTTTTGAGCAAAGTGTCTGTCACCTTCTGTGCAGTTTAATACTGTCTCTTTCCCATTAGGCACCACCGGTTATGGCCTATCCTGCTACAACACCAACAGGAATGATGGGGTATGGAATGGTTAGTAAACGTTTGCTTGTTTTAAGTCATGTGAGGAACTTTGTCTTGGCTTGTAGCATTCTTTTTCAACATCCTCGTTACTTGCTTGCTTCAGGCCCACTTTCTTGGTTCATGACTTAATTTTGACAGAAAAGTAACGAATGTACAATGTTCTTCGTATCTACTGCCCTGTCCCTTGCTATGGTTACTTTAAACTGTGCAAAGGAAGCCTTGGGACCTTTAAGATCAGTAGGGGCAAGATGAGTTTCCATGGAAATGTCTCCTGCTGCTAGACCACCCCCCCAAACTGTGCAGTCACGCAGGGAGCGTCCTGAGGTGCACACTGTTTGTACAGAGCAGTGGTGAGACTGCTGGGTCGGCCAGCAGTTCGCATGTATGGTGTGTGCCTCAAAACACCTCCAAAATGCTCTTGCATTAAAAAGGGGTCCCCTGGCAGGCAAAGGTCGTGAACAAAGACATGAAAACGACTCATTTAGGCTATGTAGTTGTAGATCAGGGTTGAGTATGGGTTTGTCTTGAGCAGAGCACAGCGTGAGGCCACCACACAAATAAGTGGGAGGGTGGCTGAGTCCAAGCGTTCAGTAACTCAGTGAAATCAGTGCCTCTGAACAACCTGCATTGTAACATGGAAGTGAATGATGACCGAATCCCGTGTGATTACATGTGGCCTTCCAAACTCAGAGGATTATGGATATTCAATTGAGGAAGGAGGAGGGAAGGAACATGAAGGCGAAGGTCACCTTCATGCTATGCGTGCCCCGCAAAAAACTTAGGTGCTCAGTTTCACAAGGAGGGAGGGCTCAAGTGCTGCCAGAATGCCTCTGAGCCCAAGGGAGCCTCACTCCAACCCCCCAGCCAGAGCCCTGACCACCCCCAACACCACCTCCAAAGTGGACGTGTTTTGTCATCCAGTCAAAAGCAGCAGCCATGCTGCCATCACTTTTGCTTCTGCTAATAATTTTTTTACCAGCGTGAATTACAGAGCAACTGTTTCTTAATAAATCAATGTCTTCTGTACCCATAAGTTGTACATGGAGATACAAGTCAAAAACAGTTATTTATCTTGGCCATTTGGTAAGGAATCTCTGGTAAAAGTGTACTGTTGGATTGTGATGGAGTGATTGCTGAAAAAAATTGGGATCTTCAGGGAATCCTACAGCTGATCTCATAAGTCACTCATATCAAGTGCAGTGTTCCTTGCCCAGTATTTTAGGTACTTTCAGATCTTTACCTGCTGTTATTTCATGAAGAACTTTTGTTTTGTTTTAGCAAACTTTCAAAAGAGATCTTTCCTCCACCTCATCAAATTTTACTACAAAACTTCAGGGTCTCTGTTTTATTCTTGGCATTTTCTTTTTCTTTTTGAAGTCTGACGTTCCATCACGTTTTATAACTTCTTGCTCATCTATAGATCTCTTGGAGGGCTTCCAGTTTCATGATGTCATTAAGAAGCAAGCTTAGCCCATGACATGCACTTCCTGTTTCAATAATATGCAGATATTTATCCATGAAGATCTCCCATGCTGCTTTCATATTCCTTGCATTGCAAAGCAAATGCTTCACTGCTTCCAGATCTCTGGAGGAATTCGCATATTTTACAGCTGGAATACTCTGCAACACGTCTGCTTCCTCCTGTTTCAGTGCTTCTGAAAAAAAGGAAAAAAGTGAAGCTGTCATTAGCCCAAAGCTTATGATTCCTTCTCTCTTCACACATATCCATCCATCTGCAAGTGCTGCAAGACACAGACCCGCACTGATTTTTCCTTTCCCAGATTCCTTCATACCTTCCTCCTCTGACTCTAGAAGAGGTTTGGTCAAAAAATGTCTGTGAATAATACGGTGCTCTTAGTCATCTCAAAGCTTCCTTCCAATATGCACGTTCAGTTCTCAACAACAGCACTCTAGAAGAATACACTGCTGTTGGGAGAGCTTGGTCCATTTTTTACCTTAAGCTTCAGGTGTCATCCTGCCTGCAAGTGATAGCACTGTGTTTTGAATGTTTACAGTGTTTGCTTACATGAAGCTGTGTTACTGATGGGGAAACACTTTTTGATGATGCCAGCGTTGAACAAGGTCCAGAAAGAGGAGGTTTGGAACAAGGACATGGGGAAAAACCTCTTGCACTTTAATCAGCATGGTTCTCCTTTCTTAGATCCATGAAGAAAAATTTATTGTCTGTAGGGCACTTCTTACATGCTACATGGTTATGTCTTGTCACCCTGGTAGTATTTGATAATGTGTCGTTCCCTTCACAGTATTTGCAAATTGCGTTTTTCCCTTAGAAAAACTTGCACATTCCTCCACCTGTTGGTGGTCTCTACCATTTTGCTACCTGTTGGTCTCACCATTTTGCTGAGAGGAGGGAAAGAAACAGCAAAGTAGTGGCTATCTTGCCATTAAACACTGAGCTGTGGGAGAGCAGTTGAAATGAAATATCAGATTATAATCAGATCAGGAATTGGGGTTTACATAAGGCTTTTGAAGATATATTAATGCAATTAGTGTTTCAGCTTTCAATTTCCAATTTAAGCTTTCAAATAAGTATAGTTTCGGTTTCTTTTTCTCCCAGTCCTTTGAGGCCTAGTCCAAGAGGATAGAAACAGACCCACCAACTACACCAGCAAGGGGAAACCAACAAGCAAAGAAACTGAGACCTCCTTCCTCCCCTTGTGAAAATGTCTATATTCCCTAGAGGCAGAAATGCATCTTGTTCTTGCATTTAAGTGTTGCAGGCCAGGTTCCCGTGACACTCCAAGACTGGGTTGGTTTATCAACCACCCTGGGCTTAAATGTAGCTTGGTTCTCCCACTGTGCCCAACACACAGTCAGGTACAGCAAGGGTCCTGAAGCCCCTCCTCCCTGCCCGTCCCTCCTCAGTCCCCCCACAGGTACCCAGAGGATGCTGCAGCGATAACTGACAGCCCTCACCCTATTCATTAATACACCTTGTGACCCGCAGTGAGGGCTTCCATGTGGGGAGCAGCAGAGTGATTTCTGCATCCTCACCTGCCATTTTGGTCCAGTGGTGGCAGCAGGGGAGAGGAAGTGGCTCTAGTCAGGCTGCAGCAATGCCCTTTCCCCCTGCCAGCCTAAAATAGTGGGCAGGGATGTAGCCACCCGCTGCCAGTCCAGTGAGAGGGTTGCCTGAGATGAGCTGCTCCACCACAGGCCGAGCAGAAAGTGGCTTGCCCTGCGCCATTCTGTCTGCCAGCCCTTTCACCTGGTCACCACTGTGGCATGGGGAGCCTCCGACAGCTGCCCCCAGTGCGCTTTGCAGCAGCTGTCATCAGCGGCAGCTGCTTGGCCAGAGCAACAAGACGTTGTCTGCCATTCTTGCCAAGTGGCTCTGTAGGCGTTATAAACCCTATTTTTAAATCCTGCTATAGACAAACCATGACTTCACTGGGGGACTTTTAGCCCAGGGATCTGAGCCAGTAAGTCAGCCCAGATAATCCAGGAGGCTTAGTGTGTTGTGTGAACCCAGTGGTAGTCTCAGTTCAAATCTCAGCCTAGGACTGGCTTGCCTTCATTGCATCACAATTGTAATGATCTGGTCCTGCTCATCATCTTAGTTATCTTTCTTATCCATTGAATGTTTTTTAAAAATATTTTGGAAGAGTAAAGATATGAAAGCCTCATGTGAAACATTTCATAATTCTGAAAGAAAAGATGCCATAATCATACCATAAACAAAAATTGGGGCTCTCCCCCCCCCAATGCCTTCATATTTCTACTCTGAGGTTGGTCTGCTGACTTCAGAACTGCTGCCAGAGCAGAAAGACCAGAAAAGAGACCAGGCAACCCAACCACAGAGTCCCAGTTCTCAGAATGTGCTTCTGAGGTTGAAGGTGGAACAACAACTTTTCCTCTGGCCATCATCTAGCATCCAAAGGATGCTGCCCTCACTGTCTCTTTTGTATAGGTTCCACTTTTGCTGTGGTTTAAAGAGATGAAGAAACCCATGAAGCTTCAGACTTACTAACTGCATTGTTGATACACTGGGGACACTTGCTGTCTCACTTAAGCATCAAATGTTCTGCTTTCTGCCTTAATGTTTTCCTAATAACCACCCATCCTTTTCTGAAGACCTTGGTGAGAGGCTTGTGTTCATGTCTCTACCATAGCTGGCCCTTATCTGTGGTCAGAACGGAACAGCAGAACTTTTTTCAAAGGAAGAGAGCCTCCTTTTTGTCCCTGTTCTCCTCTCCTGTCCTATTTTTCATTCACTGCCTGATTAATATTAATTTATCATGGACAAGCATTAAGTGTGCCTGGTTATGTTTTTAATGGCTGGTCCCACTATTTAAATTGTTTATTTAGTTCAACTTTAATATTTTATTTTATATGATATAAGCAGCTCTAAGCATTTTTAATTATGGAAGATAAATACATTTTCTAAGTGGAATACGTTATACAAAGGAGTGGTTATTTTCTGTACTGTCTTATGTGCATGGAGTAGAAGTTTGATATTTTCTGGTAGTTTGGTATAATCAAAAACCAAAAAGTGATATTCAAGCTCTTCCTGTAGGGTGCAGTTCTATGTATGCATTGACAGAAGAACAAAAACAAATGTCTAAATATGCACAGCATTGTACCCTTAGTTATTTTTTCATATTAAAAATACTGAAGCTGTAGTTGCTTCTATGTTAAAATAATTTTCAAGTGGGAGCCTGTTTAAAACAAGCGCTCAAGTATAAACAAGTAGCATTCCAATTTAAAATTAATTCCCAAAGTGTCTGGACTAAAATCTACAACATGGAAGGCTTTCCTAAATGAAAACGTCTTAACCAAATGCTGGGCTTGGTGAAATGGAAGAACCTGGTGTGTCTTCCTGGGCAGAGCTGGTTATTCATCTCAGTAGGTCGGAGAGGATGAAGCACATGCTCACTTGCCAATCCTGAAAGTGGAGAAGAAGGTATGGGAAAAAGCACCCCCTAAGCTACAGAGCCCAGGCAAACCCAGCTACTTGCCTTTCTTTGCATAGAACTTCAAATGCCGAACCTTTTCAGTGCTTCATGGGGTTCTTGTGCAATAGCCATCTCTGTTCTTGTGCCCTCCAGCTCTGTTGATGACCATGATGGAAGTTGTAGTTCCAACACATCTTAAGAGGAGAGGTTGGGGACAGCTGCTTTAGAATGCTAGTAACTATGTATGACAAATTTTAGGAGGTTTTTTATGGGGGGGTGTGTGTGTGTGTGTGTGTGTGTGTGTGTGTGTGTGTAAGTTGCAGTCTTTTAAAAGAGATATGCATGAAATTAATTCTGTGATATTCTGAATTTTTAGCCATCCCAAATGGGAGGAGTACCAGTCATGACTCAACCAACCTTGATATACAGCCAGCCGGTTATGAGACCTCCAAATCCATTTGGTCCTGTATCGGGAGCCCAGGTGGGTGTCGGACAATAAATCCTGACGTTTCTGGCAACGCAAAAGCTTAAAAAAGAGAGCAGTGTCAACTAGAGCAATGTCTATTGTACCTGTTCAGTGGTTGTATTGTCTGGGCGAACAGCATGTCTGGCCGCTTACTGCCATCAGTCTGGCTCTGCACAGAACATTAGCTGTCTAAGTAAAGCAGGCATGCCGAGGGAGCACAAGATGGCAGTAGTGAGGATGAAAGAGAGGAAGACTACAAAATGCCAGACGCCACAGTGCACTTGAGGCGCACACAGTCCAGGAAGAAGAGGTGATGGTGCAGGCTTCAAGAAGCACAGGATGGCAACACGGGAAGAGATGGAAGAGCCTGGCAAAGTTATAAGTAAGAACCTAACTTTGGAGTAGAACCCGCTTGGTTGCCATGTTGGATAAACTTTGTGGGGAGAGGGACAAGAGGTTGATCAAATCAACCTGCTGTAAGGTTGATTCTCTTGGACTTCTCATCAGCTTTGGATAACACCAGCTGTGGTATCCTCCTATTTCAACTGTGGTTCCCTTCCTGTTTGGAAGAAAATGCTGTAGGATTATTGTGTCTCTGTAAGCCTAACAGTACTTTCCATTAGAACATTTTCTGCACTATTACCTCTTCCCAAAAGAATCGGCCATTGGCCATTGCCACAACATATGGGTAGATAGAGCAGAAGAGTGGTCCGTCTAGTCCAGCATTGTGTTCATACAGTGGCCAGCCAGCAGCCCACAGGATCCCACAAGTAAGATACGGGTGCAACGGCACTCTCTCACCCAAATTGCCCAGCAGTGGGTGTACGCAAACATCCTGTCCTGCCTTTGCTGCTGGAGTGAACTATCAGGACCAGTAGCCATTGATAGCCTTAACTGCACTGCTCAGTCTGGATACACCTCACTGAAAAAATGTGGCACCCAGTATACTGAATGCACCAATTTTTGCTCAGTAAAATATAACTTAAGATCCATTTCTCCTTCTGAGAGAGAAGGAATTCGTTGATTGGACAAAATGGGCTCATTGATCCATGTTTGCGTAAGACCCTGTGTTTCATATTTATTTACCAATAACCGATATTTCTGGAGAAGCCTTCAGTTACAGGCTGTTTCTCCGTCCTGGCCCCACCTCCATATTTGTAAGTTGTCCCAAACCTTCTCCAAACTAGCACCTCCCAGATGTTTTGTTCTGCAGCTCCCATCAGTCTCAACCAGGATTGCTTGTGGTGAGAAATTATGGGCATTGTTGTCCTAAACATCCGAGGGCACCAGGTTGAGGAAGACTGCTTCTGGATTGACTCGATTGTGTGCTTAAAGGTTGAGGAAATAAGCTTTCTGTGTTACTGGAAGCATACCCTTAATTGAGGCACTTGCTGAGTTTGCAGCTAGATCGAGCAATTTGTCATCCCTCCATAAAGTTGGTTTTACGTTGCTGGTGTGACATTTATTAGCATTTCTTGGGAAAAGAAACAAAGACCCGTTGTGGGAATCTGCGCTCTCATGAGTCCAAGCAGTGTTTGGCCTTTCCTTTCCCTCCTGCTCCCTCACACTAGACGCATTGTGCATCATGTGCCTGCTGCAGCGTTCCAGGAGAGTCTCCTTCTGGTCAGCTGTTGGTGTTGGCAGGCCTTTTGTTAGTTAAGCTGCACGGGTGGGAGAGCTTTCCATGTAATGTGAACCAAATGTGTTGCGGAACGAACCTGAATGGATGGCCTTGACTTCCAACCTTGCCCTGAAACTGCAACAGCACATTTATGACCCCTCCTTCCCTTCCGTGTCCACTTGATCATCTCCAGACATACAAAACTAGAGGTGCTGTTTGGTTCTTGTCTGGTACCACTTTGATTCCATACGCTCCGATGGCTGAACACAGGTCAGAGAGGAGCCTATGGGCAAGTGTTCGTGTTGTGAGAAGCCTCCAAGAAGCTGCTGCAGCTTCTGAGGCCACCTGTGGAGAACCTGTTACTCCGCGGTTGCTGCTGCGTTCTTTCTTGGCTGCTCAGTCCTAAGAAGCAGCGTGGGGTTGGAGGGCAAGAGAGCAAGGAGGCAAAGAACCCTGGAAGGGGATCCCCACAAAGGGCTATAGCAGCTCAGGGACCTCTTTCAGTTTTGGAGAGGCTTTTGGGCCTGCACTCCTGTAATGGGTGGGTCACTGGCATGGCAGAATGGGTGTGGCCATTGGCAAAAAGGAGCGGGGACAAAAATGCCACCCTCTTCACATAGCGTGGCATAAAGATGCTACTGTCAGAACTAAGCCTTAGCAGAGGCATTTCAGAAAACGGCAACAGCTGGGAGAGCACAGGACAATCGGGCTGGGAGCAGGGAGAGTGGCAGGCCCTTCTGGGGAGCTCCGGGGGAACCAGGAACAGTTCCTGCTCTCCTGCAGTGCAGTCGGCAGGAAGCTCCTCAGTACTTGGGACATGAGGCTGCCGCAGAAACCAGCAGAAACCGCCTCACGACCCCTTAGAGGCCAACAGGCATCTTACGGCACACGCTTGCGGCAGTGGATGGATGCACAAAGTGTAATCCCAGGCTGCATACATACGTGCTCATGTTGGGCTGGGTAGGAATTGCAGATACTGAGGGTCAGCGGGAATGGAAATTAGAAGGTCTAGACAGTGATGCTAATACCCGAAAGGTTCGTGAATGTTTGATGATAACAGACATCCTTGCAAGCTGTTTAATACAGCTAGAGTGATGTTTTTGTCCTTATTAATGTCACAGGATATAAAGTTGAACCTCCTGATGAATTGTAGCATAGTTTCCTGTTTTAATCCATCTTTACCAAGAGGCATTATGCTAGTTAAGGGCCGGACTAGGGACCCTGGAGATGTGAATTCTAGTCCCCGCTTGGGCACGAAACTCTCTGGGTGACTTTGGGCCAATCACTCAATCTCTGCCCATCCTACCATTCTTGTGAGGATAGAATGGGGCTATGTAAGCTGCTTTGGGTTTCTTGCAAGAGGGAAAAGATCAGCGTATATAAAACAGTGCAATAGTACTAATATTTGGCATTCGTTTGTTCAAGGGCTCATTCTTGGGGAAAAAAGAAACTTTGAAGACATGTATCAACTGTGATTTCAGTTAAATACAAGTGTGTCTTGGGAGGTCAAGAAGTTTTCAGCAATTCCTAGTATCGCATTTGTGTCTTTTTACTGTCTAGCTTAGAGACTTGCCTACTTACACTACCTAGAATGTAAGAGGACCTTGTTGCGAATGCTGTCTTGCATAACAGGATGAGGAGCAGTTCTGGGGATCTCTGATCCTGTGGATGGCTTTATTCGGTACAGTAAGAGTGTTGCCAGCGTAGGCGTGAGGATAGACTGGCCAGCTGGGTCCGCCACAGTTTGCTGTCCCTGTACTTGCCGCAGGGTTGCTGGGAAGTAGTTCCTGTGCATCAGCAGTTGGTGAGTCCAGGCCTGGCATGCAAAGTCTGAGAGAGATTGGTGGCATTGGCTTTGTTGGTGCTTCTTTGAAATGATTTCTGGATGGTGGTCGCTCCACAAGGTGAATTCTTCCTGTGTAGCAAATTGAGGGTGCTACACAGAAGTATGAGATTGACTTCAGCGCTTCTGAGAAGACTGTCCAAGGGGTTCTGAGTGTGACTCCTGCGGGTGACTGAATTGTTTTGGTTCTTCCAAAGAGAAACTGAAAAAAGACCCACACACATTTTCCGCCCTACAAAAAAGTTACTACCTTTCCTTTCTTATAGAAAATAAAATGTACAGTGTATTATTTTTGAGATGGTGGGGGAAACTTTTCTGCTGCCCTCTGTGAACTGAATGTGGTTACCTTCAATGAATAGTCTCCAAAATGGATTAGAAAATACTCTTTGTTTCAAATTTGTCCTGTTCAAATCCCTCTCCTTTCATGGATTAGCATGGGTTTGTTTTTTTTTACAGTTGTCACCAAATATTTAGCAAAATGCCATTAAGCATGAAGAGTGATATATAAAATGAGTGTGTGTATGTATGTGAGAGCCCATGTATAGTGGTTCTAAGCATCCTTCATGGTGAAGTGGCGTCTTTTAAGCTTTAAAAGAACTGCATAGCAGTTTTGCAGGCTGTCCATTAGCCCAGCATTGCCCGTTCCAAGGGTGCAGAACTGAGGTACAGAGGCCCAAGCCAGACCTTCTGGTCTCCCAGTCTGGTCCTCTGGGATGCCTCTTTCCCTTGATCACTTATTGTTCTTGGTCTTTGCTATTGCCTGCCAACTGCTCTTAGCAACTGAAAATGCCAGGAATTGAACTCAGGAACTTCCGAGCTGCAGTTCCTTCCTAACTTGTAAAGTTAGCAAAAGCCTTAGGACAGGATTATTTTATTTTATTTTTTATTTCTTTACTGTCCAATAGCCAAAGCTCTTGCGGGTGGCGGGGACTGTTGCAGATTGAGCATAAGAACCTTTCACTATGTGATGTGAAAAAAAGAAAGGCTCCAAGAGCAAACCAGAGCAGCCAAAACAGGATAAATGGTCATGGCCAAACATTAAACAGATGAAAGGTTTGGTGAGCATGTTCCAGTCTTACTCCTGGCATCCCTCCCTCCATGGGGATGGGGATACCGCTGTAGCCTTCATGCAGGAGCATGTAACAGGTCGTGTATCATAGTGCTCTTTGTACTGCTGATTACATGCCATTTGGCACCTAACATTGCTGGCTGACTGTTCATGCCAGTATACGTTGTATTAAGTGTGAGGTCTGGATGTCAAAGTCTGCTTTGAAGATGGACTTCTGGTATGGCTTCTGTCTGCTGAAAGAGACGGTGATGTATCTCATTGGATCTGTTGTCCCTTTTGATCATCTGCCAGACCTGCTGTCTAAAGCATTCATGATTTCTGCCAATCGCATCCAGGAAGTCACCTTTGCTAACTTCTGCATCTGTCATACCACTGGAGTGACTTTCGACTTTGCATGCAATCCGCTTTTTCCCTTTTAACCAACCCTCTTCAGTCCTTCCTCTGAACTGCCTTCTCCGCCATTACATTTTCTGCCTTCATGTTTCTGTCATTGAGGCCTCTTTTTCTCTTTCCCTCTCTGCCATCTTCGTTCCCAGCTGTCTGCAGCGTCCAGCCCATCCACTCAGAGTCCTCACAGAGCTTCAGGGAAGGACCCTTTTGCAGAACTCTCCCTCCAGGATTTCTTGTAGGACAACTTAGGTATTGCATGTTAACTCTGGGGGGCACTGGTGGCTGGGATGCTGCCTCTGTGTGTCCATGCTTCTGCATAAACATGAGCATTGCCCTAGCCACGTCCATTTATCACATTAAAACAGCACATTTGGGGTGGCTCTGTAAATCTGCATGCTTCAGTTCCCCGACAAGGTGTAAACCATGGCAGCTGATGTGGAATGCAGGAGTTTGAGCCAAATACTGATAATTCTTCTATCTACGTTAAAGGAAGTGTCCTTACCATGGCAGAGGGAAACCTGAAAACAATTTTACTTTCTTTCTTGAAAGAAAAGATCAGTGTGGCAGGGTGGGGGAGAGAAGTGAGTGGTGGGCAGGCAGGGTGGATTTTAACCACAGGCAGCTTCTGATAGTTGTATATTCTCCCTTTCTGAAACTTGTCACGTCTCCCACCCAAATTCCCTCTCATAAAATAATGCACCTCGCATTCTGCAGAAATCCTGCAACTGGCACACTGTAGAAAGAAAACAAGCAGATTGACACAAAAGTTGTAGTTAAAAAATCGACTCATTGGAATTTTGGTTGCCTAGAATGTGGATTTCCCCAGCTTTATCATGCCTCAGAAAGGAAGGCTATTTCCTTCTTGCTCCTGTTTGGGCATCGCCTCCTGGGTATAGAGCCCCAGACTTTAAGAGAAAAGCTTCAGTGCCACTAGAGAAACCTGCAATCCCTTCTGTAGTTTCCTTAATGCTGCTCTCTGTACAATTCAGTGCATTGCAATCTGCAGAACTGGCCCATGATACTCCAGCCATTATTCTGTATGTGTTTACAATCTCCTGTTCTCTTGTTTGTAGCTCCAAGAGTTGCGACCTACAGTTTGAATTCTTTATTGGGCTGGAGGGTGGCACCACTTATGTAAATTGCCCTGGTCAATCCATGACCTCTAGCTCTGTCGGATGGGGCAAAATAAGTCTCTTAAGGTTGCGTTACCTGTACATTTCATGAGACCTTCCGAAGTTTTTCCAAATGGTTTAATCTTTCATTATGCCAAAGCTGATTTCCCTGTATTGCTAGTCTTCCGCTGTAGAGTCTGTCTTCAGGTTTAAACTTATGTATAGTAAAAGGAGGTTGGAGCAGGAATTTCCATTGTGTGCAAAGAAGTAATATGGTTGCTACTTTGTCTTCTCACAGATCCAATTCATGTAACTGTGCCAGATGGAGTGGGGTGAAGACATCTCCAGAAAGACATGTGCTCAACGACAAACCCTTCTTTCCAGCCAAATCAAAACAGATGTATGTGTCTTGGACTCTTCAGTAGAACAACCCAGTAAAATCACACAAGCCCACAACCATGGTGGGATATCAACTAGGGAAGCCTCAGCACCCTGCAGTGCTCGGTATAAAGCCAAGAATTGCCACAATTTTGGTGTGGGATCTTTTTTTTTCTTTCCTCCCTTCCTGGTGACCTAACATGTCAGTAGCTCTCACCACTGTTGCATAACCTCAGTTAATAACACACAGAAGCCTCTTATTCTGCTATGAAGGGTCAAATGTGTACCTGGAACTGCTATTTGGAATGAAGAGCTGGGCATCCTTTTACCGTTAACTCCAATGACTTTTCTCTCTAGGGGATCAAATCCTAACGCTCTAATTCTACAGTTTCCTCTCTCCAGTCCTCACAAATGCTAGACTCAATAATGAAAAGTTTAACTTTTTTAAAAAAAAAAGAATTATATATTCCGTTTGCATAGACATTCCTTTATGTATTATTGTTTGTATTTATTTATGATTATCAGTTTAAGTAACAGTGTATCACAAGGCCTCCTCCGTGGAGAAATGAGTGTGGATGTATACAGTATGTCTCCCTTTTGCGATTCTTTTATTTTCCTCCCATTTTTATCCACAAGAACAATTCTGATTCAGAGTGCATCTTCACCGAATACACACCCAAACTCACAGAGCACTGAGTATGTTCAAAGGTCTGAAAACACCAACTGTCAAATCTCCACAGGAATTAGAGGTGTCAATGTATTAAAACTGTCAGTTCTGCGAAGAATTTTGGCAAGGGGGGATGGCTGGCAAAGGAGCACAATAATTCTTGGACCGGGTGTTGGTGCTTCTAGAAAGAACTTTCCTCTTTCCTTGCTTTGTGCTTGGCATGTCATTTATCTTACACTTGACATATGGCCTTTCCAAAATGAATGTGAGGGATTGCTTTCACTTTTAAAGACTTTCCTTCTTTTCTGTACAACCCCCTCCCCCACACACACAACTTCAGAGGTATTATGTAAACAATGCCTTGACCTCATTTTCTCTTCATTTGGCTAGTGCCATCTCCATAATCATGTACCACGAAATAGAATAAAATCTCAAGGGAAGTAGCATCTTTATTTAAGGGCATAATCCTCTATGAAGTTCTCCAGTGGAAGGTCTAATTCAGTGGGGGCTTGTGCAGGAGGACTTCTTGGTTCATTGGCCTCTCAGTGTGTAGGAATCTTTTTTGTTTTCTGCAGAATTTGAAGCAGCACTGTTGATCGGTGCTTCGTGTAAATACATCATACAGGTTCGGGTAGCATCTGGGGCCTTAAGAAGGATAGTCGAAGGCATGAAAGCAATTCTGTACATGAATTAAGCATACTTGCTGCATTGTCTCCGCAGATTCTATTTTTGTTTAAAATGTTAAAATGTACGTTAGCAAAAAAAAAAAAAAAAGTGGATTTTCAAATAAAATGCAGCTTCCACAGAATGTGCGGTATGATGGTCTGCAAAGGATGGATGGCTGGATGGTGGCTGCTGTTGAGTTGGAGGTATTACTTATGGGATGCTCCCATCCACTTTCAAATTCCATGTGCCCAATCCCTTTTGTCTAAATGAAGCTATGCAGGCTTGGTAAACTTAACACTGAAGCAGTACTGTCTGAATTGTACTCTTTCCAGTTGCGTTGTTAGGGTCAAGGCTAGGCCTGCTCCTGGTTTCTTCACCCCTAAGTTCTCTAGATGGAAGAGGTCCTCAAACTGGAAGAGCATTCTGTGAGGGAAGCCTATCTTTCTGTTGCCTGATCCCTCTTCCACAGGGACGTCTAAACTATCAACGTAGATTGTGCCCCAGCCTCTTTGGCAACATATGGAAATGCAGCAGTGGGCGTGTCTAGGCTGTATTCACAACTAGGAGAATCCCACACGGTACTGTCGCCTCAGACTTTTTATACTGATGTTCTTTCACTGTGCATACAGACTGTTGAACTGCTTCTGGTTGTTAAAAATGCTCCACCCCAATTGTTTATGCAAGATGATTGGCTGCTCTTGAGGTACTTCGGAAAAGATGATCTCAGCTTGGCTTAGCCCTACTAAAGTGTAGAAGGACTTTGGGGGCATATTTCCCGTTGTCTGGCAATAAGAACAAGGTTTCCTTCAGTAGGACATCTCCCTGGTAAAGCTGGTGCTTTGTTGTGACTGCAGCTTGTGGTGGTAACACAACGAAGAATGTAGTAAATTTTCCACAAAACAAAACTCAAAATCATGCAGGAAGTAAATAAATCATTTCTTTAAAGTGCTTAGACTCAAAAGGCTTCTTGCACAAAACATAATCCTCCTACCTATTTGAAATACGAAGGGTGAAAAGCCTGCAAATACCATCCATTTCTGTCAGAAAGCAAAAATGCTTTGTTGTGATTGTCAATAGAAACAAAGCTTTGGATTTCTGAATCAAGATTTGGATTTTGTAGTGATCTGCCCAGAGAGCTTTGGCAGGAGTGCCACTTCTTGCTGCTGTGGATTTCGTAAGGAAGTTCATTATTTTACTTAAGGGGCAGTGGTGGGGATGGGGAAACACATCAGCATTGGATATTTTGGTTGAACTGATCAGGCTTATGTGGACGTTAAAATGGGAACCAGGAAGTCTTATTCAAATCTCACCCATTTTACTAGCTGGCAAGATGGATTCAGGCAAGCTGCTGCAATCGCATAGCCTCTGTCTCTCCCTCTAATTGCCCTATGTAGCTGTAATTACTGAACACACAGGGTTTTGAATTCCTGAAATCATTTTATTTTGTGATCACAAGGCGCATTGTGATCCTCTAAGGGATATAATCAAAGTACCTCTGTGTAGTCACTTCAGAACAAGTTACCACAGGGCTCAGATCTTGCATTTGATGTGAGTTTGGTGAGGATTCAGTACATGCAAGGTTACACATTCTTGGTAATGCATCCAGTTTAAACTGTTTCTACACACAAATGCCAAATGGAAATTTTAAACAAAAGAGAAATACCAGACTAATCTGGCATTTCAAGAAGCCATTTCTACTTTTTCTTCACCCATTTAAGGAAATACCGACTTGATCATCTGGTAGGTGATTTGGCGGGGTGACCTACTGGCATCATATTTTTCTTCAAGCTGGGTTTTGCTTGGCATTTCCTTGATGTCTTCATGAATTGGCATGGCTTGACCCACTATGGTCATTAATTTCACTTCCAGGGACCCCAGATCCTTGTACTCCTGGAGTTTGAGACAGAAAGATCACGTTATTCAGCAGGAAATACTCTTCAGAAATGGCTTCCATATGCATGCATTAAAATATCAGAATCAGAAGCAACTCCGAATTCTAGATAATAAATGTGGACCTGGTTCTTTAAATCTGCAGTTAAGTTCACGAGCCATTGTTGAGGTAGCATGCATCGGAAAATCGGGTCAAATTCAAAACATCTGGAAGCCATTTTATGCACTCCAGCCAGCCATTGTCAACAAGAGCCGTAATTCAAAAGATCCGAAACTCAAGGTCGCCTGCCCCAAGTGGAGCATTAAATGATTCCCCTTGTTCATATCCACACTTGCTTATGAAGTTCATTAACTGATGATGGGCTAGTACTCATTCTCAGCCTTACTTGTTCCAGTGTTTTCCTTTTTTCTTTGTATTTATGGATGCCCCCCTCACCAAAAAAAAAACACCTGCATGACAACTTGCAGCTTTAAACAGGACCTATGACCATGCTTGTGCGAGTAAACCAGAGCAACTAGCGATCACCAGGCAATCTAATTTATCCTGCTTTCCTAACATTTGCAGTCCATACATAGTTCATAATCCAGCAGCCTCATCAAGAAGTCATACTAACAGGCTTTATTGATTCCCTGACTGAATTGCTTCATGGACATAATAAACAACATGTATGGCTTTTGTTAATGTTGTCTACCTTCATGTGGCTGAACAAATTCTGTTAATTCAACCATTGAGGCAATCAGTATACACACTCTTATTAACAGAATAGTAGCTGCCAATTTGGCAGTGGCTAATTTTGTAGCTATTACAAGGTTTCCTTGCAATTTCATGTGCTCATTTCTTAGCATACCTTTAACAGGTACAGGATATCCAATCATACAGTTTAAATGGGCTGAACTTTTCCCAGAACTGTCTGATTTCTTTTCCAAGTCCACCCTCTATGAAGGAAATCTGTACTGATTTCCCAGTGTTCTTGCAAGGACAAAATGGAGAAGGAGTTCCTTAATGGAAAGGCAAGTTACCAAAAAGTGGCAGGTTATTAAAATGGGTGGGGATGGGTGGGGGGGAAAGCCTTCAGCATAAACTAGGACTAAATACAGGCTTTCGCAAACGGGATGGCCCAACATAAAGACCACAAGGCAGCTTCCCAGTGCCAACATCCCGGGAGTGTTTAGCTCAGCCATGTGAATTCCAGAACGTACCTGGCTATGTAAGTAGGGACAGCACAGGTGGGCAAGAATGCCCACGCTCTGGGGATGCCCTTAGTCAGCATAGAACTTTCTGATTGCCGCGTAGGTAGACTCTTTTCCAAAGGAGAGGAAGTCTATTTCAAAATGGACATGCAGCAATGTTTCATTTCTAGGTCACCCAGTAGCAAAAGTTCCCTGTGCTGTTCACAACAGTGCATGAAAACACAAGACCCAGCAGTGCAATAAAATGCTGCATGTTTCAGTATACAAAATTAAAAAACAATTGGATGGCTGAAGCTTCAACGCAAATGAAACCCATTAAATTCCCAGATTGTGGAATGCGCTCCCCGGAGAGGTTCGCCTGGCGCCGAGTTTATATTCTTTTTGGCGCCAGGTCAAAACCTTTTTATTTAATCATCATTTTAAAAATTAGTATTTTAACATTTTAACAATCGCTTTTGATTTTGATTTATATTTTTACTGGTATTATTTATTTATAGATATGGTTGTTTTATTGTATTTTGATTTTAAGGATTGTAAGCCATCCTGAGATGCCATGAATAAGGGACAGCATACAAAAGTTTTAAATAAATAAATAAAAAGACAGGCATTGAGCTCCCCTGCCATTAAATAGCTAGGAAAAGAGGGCAGAACAGAAAAGATGACAGCTCATGCCAGGTGGGCCTCAATGGGGGAAAAAATCACAATAAAAATAGTCTTTGTATCGATTTGGGTTGAGAGAGGTTCTGGCAGGTCGTGTGGCCCCATATCCTGGTCAACGCTGGATAATTTACAAGGCACTCCTACATGAGTCTTTTTGTGGCTATTTGGGCTTTCCTCCTAGCCAAGTGCTCCTGTTACAAGGCAAGTTTGTGATAAAATGGTAAATCTCTTATGCCAGCAAAAAATATGTTGGATACCATATGCGTTTCAGCATCACATCCTTCATGCCGTGGGTGGAAAGCCTGTGGTACTCCAGACTAAAGTCACAATCACCCACAAGCCATTCTAGCTGCGGCTAATGGGAGTTGGAGTCCAAAAAATCTAGGGCCGCTTATGCTAAAAATTTAGACAAGGAAAGCAGACATCTACCTTGAAATCGTTTGCATCCTCGTACAGGATAGGGGGAAGAAACCCAGTAGCTGAATGTCCTTGCAGATCAACCACATCCTCCTCGTCTTCTAGTCCTTCTTCCATTACTGTGAAATCCCAGGTTTTCGACCCACTTCCCTTCTGCACAGCAGGGAGAACTTCAGGTATTGCAGCTTCACTGTTTTCTTCTGATTTTAATCCTTGCAAGGAGAAAGCACTCCGTGATGGTGTGGCCACAACAAGGGGGACCTGGCAAGTACCGCTCAGCCTGCAGGCATTGCTTGTTGTCTCTTGTATCACAATGAAATAAGCCAGTGTTACTCTCTTCTGCATCAACTTGCCTTCATACAAGGAAAGTGAGTGGCTGGTTGCAGCCGTATCACAGGACTCCTTTCCCTAAATGCAGTTAGCTACTTGTAGGAGTAATATTTTTTCCCTTTGGCCAGAGACCTAACACAATGTTTTCCAGTCCTCCTCTCCCTCTGAAATCAATTCCCTCTCTCTGTGTGTATATACAAACTGCATTCCTTCCTAGCCATCTGTTTCTCTTCCTTTTTTTCTTTCCTATTGTCAATTTTACATAGTGAATTTACTGCACGAGAGACCTATATCCCCTTTTGCATAAGATTTGCTAAAGCAGACATGGAGAAGCTTTGCATGTTGTTGGGCTGCCATTTTCACCATGGCCCATACTGGCTGGGGCTGATGGGCGTCACAGTCCTGTGACATCTGGGTGTTCACAAATGTTGCTGTCAACCTCTTAGGTGGCATTGCATGGCTTGCGTTTATTCATCACCAATTCAAAAGTTAATCTTGCTTTTTGACCAAGACACCAAAACAGCCTGCAAAATAACAGGTGCCATCTTGAGCATCCAAAAACAGCAAAATACAGCAATGGGAATGAAAGGGGCAATAAGCAGAAAGGGGGCAGAAGCCCAACAAAGCAGCTGAAGGAACAACAGTATTCTGGCCAGCCGGCAAGAGACTTCGCACAATCCTACGTGTGTCCTCAGAAGTCCTGTTGTTCAATAGTCCTCTCCCTCTCCTGAAAAGCTGCTCAGCAAGATTATTCCTGGAGAACTCCTATCGTGCAGCTCCAACAGCCAGATCAAAGAATCATACCGGACCTGCCTTTGTGTCCACACTTCCTCATCCCCATGGCAATAGGCACAGCGTCCACTTCCATTCTCTGCTAGCTGGATTGGGGCAAATGGTCTCCAGGTGTAGGAGGCCTGTAGGCCTCCAGGTTCAACTCCCATTGGTCCCAGCTAGCATGGCCTATGCTTAGAGGTGATGAAGTTGTAGTCTAGCAACCTCTGGCGGTATTTTCCCCTCAGACATTATTCACAGGTGGTAAGACCTCAGATAAACTGGGCTCAGGATCAGAAAGGCGGCAAATATCCCCCAGTTCTGGGGTCCTGCCCACACTTCCAAGTGAGGCATGGCTTCAGCTTTCCAGGTAATCATACTGGGATCCCATCAGAAAGCCACTTACCTGCATAGGGACTGCCTTGCTCTCTTAACGATCCTTCTCCAGGCATCTGCAAGCCAGCTCCCTGGGTGAGAAATAACTTGCTAGAAAAATTAAAATCAGAAGTGTTGAAAAAGAACACTTTTTTATGATACATATTCATGCTGGCAGGTCACTGCAGTTTTCTGCTCAAATTATTTCTGCAAATATCCTGCCTTCTATTAACTTAATGATCAGACCAGCTGCCCTATTCCACAGAGCCCCCTTTTCCTTTGGGGGGCTTGGAAGACACCACTGCGACATGTTGGAAGGCAAGCAGAAATTAAGGTAGGAAGCTGCCTCTTTATCTTCTAAAGATCAAATGGAAAGAGGGAGGGCTATGTAAGCTGCTTTGGGTTCCTTCAGGAAGAAAAGTGCAGCATTTCTCCTGACTGGAAGTGGCTCCCCAGCCCCACCTGGGGTTCTCTGCACGCAAGTGGTGCGCTCAGCCACTGATCCAGGCCTGCTTCCCTTCGGAAATGACATGTCTTAGGTGGGCTTCCAGATTACGGTTCTGAAGATGACCACCATTTTCATGTCTCTCAGTTCCTTAAGGTATGCCTATAGGATTCAAACAGGCCCCACTCCAAACCTTTTCCTGTGGCCCATCAAGTTCCAGAGAACAAGCAACGGTCTAATGAGCTGGCTGGGATTACCAGAAGCTGAAGTCTGATGGGTTTGGAAGCCAACAGGTTGGGGAGTGCTGCCTTAGATGACTCCACCTCCTTCCTTCATATGACCCTTCAACACTTTAGGTAGAGGACTTTTCACATCACCTGTTGCCTGATCCCATTTTACCGGACAAAAAGCTTTTGTTCTGCCACTGAGTATGGCCTTCCTCAAGATGAACAGGGGAAGCTGAATGTTTGTGGAAATAGCACAAACTCTGCAGGCAAGAAGGCTTTCATGCCGTTTGCTTCAGCTCTAAAATGCTAATCAATAATTAGGTTTCAAGATTCCAGTAACACATAAAATGACATGAGGCACAATCCAGGGCTATAGCGATGCCGTTCTATAGGTGAAAACAATGCTGCACTAGCAAGAACAAGGGGCGAGAGGCGAATGCAGCTTAAGCGACGTTTGTGCAAACCACTGTGCTTTCTCTTGTGCAACCTGTCCCGCCATATCGCACAATGGGTTGCACAAGCGTAACAGGCAAATGTTTGTGCAATGGAAAACTACACAGCTCTCTGCTAGTACTGCTTGAGTTTGTGGAATGACACCACTGGATACTGCCCTAAACATGCTTCAGGCCCCATGGATCCATGGAAGAATTCAGCACGCTCACAGTGGTGCTGTCCCAGGAGTACTTATCTGGGAGCAAACCTTGTTGAATTCAGTGGGGCTGATTGAGTAAGGTGGACGATCAGGCTGCACCTTTCTTCCATTGACGGTGCTGGGGTTTAAAAGTACTTAATCTGAGTTAGATTCTGTTTATGTTTTTCACAGCACTTCCTGCCTAGAAAAGTGGGTCAAAAGGACGCAAAATGAAAAGACAATTGCTAAAGTTTCTGCCTAAGCACAACTCCACTCTTCCGAGGAGAGGTGGGAAAACAACTTTGCTTTGTATTAGCTTTGGGGGCCTAGAACAGCCACCATTCCAATCATCTGAAACTGTGGTGGAGAAAATGGTAAGGGTATTCTATCTAACTTTTCATGTCTTGGGGATTAAAAGGGCAGGGTAGATAGTAAAGCAACCTCTGAGAGCAAGACCCATTAAATTCAATGGGACTCATGCACAGGTAGGTTGCATAAGATTGCAGTATTAGTCAGGTTTTGCTCAAAGGGCTTGCATTTCACCAAGTTTTGCCCACTTCTCTCCTGCACATCTTGCACCCGTAAGTCCTAAAATCTTGCTTTTAAAAAAAGAAGTAGGATTCCCAGGAACCATGTCCATTAAGTCTTATTTTGAGGTTGTTGTACAAGGAATCACAGCACCTGTACAGGCCTAGTCAGATCTATGGCTTCCATTTGGTCTTTTCTCTAACATTTTTTAGGAAATGCTCCATCATGTTTGATGCCTCTTCTTCAGACTTTGCTACAGTTGTCATCCTTCTCAGTTTTTGGTTACCATCTCCATTTCTTTAAGAATCATGGAACACTAGAGTTAGAAGGGGTTGGAAGGTCCAACCCCTGCTCAGTGCAGGACTCCTGGTTAAAGCATCCGTGTTGCCCTCTTCTGAATCCCTTCCAGCTTGTCTTCATTTTTCTTAAACTGTGATGCCCAGAACTAGATGCAGTATTCTGAGGGCTGAGCAAAGGGGGACTCCTTCGAGTCCCTTGGACTGCAAAGAGATCAAACCAGTCAGTCCCAGAGGAGATCAACCCTGACTGCTCTTTAGAAGGCCAGATCCTGAAGATGAAACTCAAATACTTTGGCCACCTAATGAGAAGGGAGGACTCACTGGAGAAGACCCTGATGCTGGGAACAATTGAAAGCAAAAGAAGAAGGGGATGGCAGAGAATGACGTGGCTGGATGGAGTCACTGAAGCAGTTGGTGTGAGCTTAGGTGGACTCCAGGGATGGTGGAAGACAGGAAGGCCTGGAGGAATGTTGTCCATGGGGTCGCGATGCATCGGACACGACTTCGCGACTAAGAACAACTCAGTGAATTGTCTGTGCAGTTCACCTGACACATGCTTTCCTGTCCCTCTTTCCAGTTGCACTAACCTAACAACTAGCCTTCTTTCATTCTCTCCTCTTGTAAACGTTTTGTTGATCAGCTGGTCACACGCAACTTGACTGCAGGAGAAGATATTTGCTCACCACATCTTTTCAAAGAAGCTGAAATATATCGGCTCAAAGAAGCTTAACTCCTAGGAGGTCTTCTTACCTCGGCACTCTAAGAAACTGTAATTTGTACTCAAACAGCTTGTTGATGAGGTAGATATTTTCCGCTTCTAGCTCATGGATGGAGTCTTCCAGCAAACTCACTTCCTTTCGGTAAGCTGCGACCTGCCATAAAAGATGAAAACCAGGGGTGAAATTCTCATACAAAGCTGCCTGATTGCAAGTCAGGTGCCTGATTGGTACCTCTTCCATAATACCAGCCTCCCCAAGCTAGCTCCATACATTTTGGGACTGAACCCCTCTTGCGCCAGTCAAAATGACCAGTGATGGGGCAACGTCACAAGGAGTTGCATGCAAGACATCTGGGGGGGCAGCAGCTTGGGGAAGGCTGCCTCCTGCAGTGCCCTGTGACAGGCAGTGCCTTTGCATGGTCTCCCCCAAACCATTCTTCCCAACCACGCTGCCCAAACTCCTAGAAGGAAATCGGGGCCAGCCGCACCATTAGGCAGGGTATGGTGGGCGCCCCAGGCGGCACATACTGAAGGGTCCTGGCAGCAGCCACTGCCTCCCAACTGCTTCTCCTGGGCAACTACCCCAGTGGTGGCAAGTGCGCCTGTTGCTGGCTGAGGATGGGGAAAGGAGGTGCCATCTGTCGTGTTCCGCCACCTCCTTCCAGTGCATCACAGAAGGCACTGCTGGGAAAAAAAACCCCATACCAGTGCCCAGCTGCCAGCACCGCCCTATTTCAGCAGCGCAAAGGTCATGCTGCTGCCCACTCTGCAGCCACCCGGTTTGTCCACGGTACCAAGGCAGCCACCCTGGCTTCCCCCACTGTCCCTGAATGCCAGTGTGCCAGGGTGGTGTCGTGGTTAAGAGCGTGGGACTGGGACTCAGACGACCTGGGTTCGAGTCTCCGCTCAGCCATGGAGCCAACTGGGTGACTTGGGGCCAGTCACAGACTCTCAGCCCAACCTACCTCACAGGGTTGTTGTTGTGGGAATAAGATGGAGGAGGAGATGTAAGCTGCTTTGGGCCCTTTGCAGGAAAAAGGCAGGATATAAATCGAAAAATAAAAATAAATCGAAATAAAAATAAGAATGCCCACCAATAACAGCATGCCCCCCGCCACCTGGTTACCACCTGGCTGTGCTGGTCTTTCCTTCCAGGGACAAAGTGACTGAGTCAGAAAATCGCCTGCTTATTGTGGTCCCTTCTTGCCTGCCCACCCACCCACCCACCTGTCAAGACATCTCACTGCCTTTTGCTTCTGTCCGCCAGACTGACATGCTTTCCGCCCCCATCTCTGTATCACAAGAAAGCCAAGACGGGCAGTGCAGAATCTGCCCTTGGGTCGACTGGACAGTGGAAACCCATTGAGAAATTCAGGTTTCCCTCATCGGCACACTTGCCTCTTCTTTGAGCCACTCGTATTCTTTGATCTCCCTGCAGCTGATTTTATCAATGTGCTTAACGGCATTCTGAGGAAAAAGAATACATTACGCTATCACGGAAATTGTAACATTTGTTTTGAAGGAAGAAAGGAATCGGAGTGCAGACACGAATACCTGAAGAGGACCGTCCAAAATTCTGAACAAAATTTTCCTCTTATAATTTTGATGTCATCCAGTTATTTGAAAGTTACTCACAGAAGCCTGCAATGGCCTGTTAGATAATAATTCGATCCATCAATAGATAGACAGACAGACAGACAGACAACATCTCTGTAGCAAAATACTTATAATATGGGCTGTATTAAATGACAATCTAAAAGCAACAAAATGCTGTCTATGATTTCAATTTTGTCTTCAGCAGATTCTGTAGGACTGGGGTCACCAAAGAAATCCCTCCACAGTAGGGCCAATCCACCCTCACCTCTGCAACAGGAAGTGGTTGCTAGTAGACTCCATAAGGTTGAAGCCACCCCAGAGAAGGCCCTGACCCAAGGGCCAAGGAGCTTCGCCTGTCTTCACAGGACTCTGCGCAAGAGTGGGCAGATGTTAGGCTTCTGGGAGCTACTTTGTTTTTTCCCAAGAACTTCAGCTCCACCAACTGGAGTCAGATACAAATAGTGGCTTGGGAAGACATGAAATTGTAGAATTAAGGAACAGACTCAAGCCAAGAATGTTTCAATATTAGAATTGAGCTCAGAGTCCTTTCACACTTCCGACAGCCCCAACTAAGCTTGCTCCATTTCAGCAGCCTAGCAAAGAGGTGGAGAGAAGGCTGTTTTGATGTTGCTACCGCGAAGGCTTTGGGAGCCAGAAACCCTCCTCTTCCAGAGAACTACTGGCAAGATGCCCATCTACCCTCTTCCTCTCCCCGTCCTACAGGGCAGGCAGAATTATTTGATGTGAGGAGAAGGGGAAGGCCTCTATGAATCATCGGGAAGGAGGCCAGCGTGTTATTTGGATAAGGCTCAGAGGCTGGCTTGAGAGCACAGAGCAAAGTTTCTTCTTTTCATTCCCGTGCTGCATCTGTGGGTGACATTTGTTCCTCTGGGCGCTGTTGCAACACATCGGCGAGAAGCCAGAGTGAGCTGTTGTGTCTTGCAAACCCAGCCCATTTTCTGCAGAGCGGTTTGTTTATCAGCCACACAAGCCACCCTAACAACCCAAGGCTTGTGGGAAGTGGCTAGTGAGCCATTCAGACTGGCAAACCCCCCTTGCTGCTCTTGCTGAGCGAACCCAGGAGACCACCAATGCCCGCCACCTCACCAATGCCTCAAATGGCACAGTTAGCAATCGTCCGTGACTCCATTCCTCCTTATGCGATTGCAAGCCTTTAGTGCTATCTGCAGCTTTCGCCCCATTGACTTGCAAAAGGTTGTGCCCACTTCACAATAAGATCCTCAGTTTTGTGTGTGTGTCAGTGGGGGGAAACCTGACTCAGGTTCCTTGCACTTTTCAGCAGTGTGACGCGGTGGTCAAGAGGGCGAACGCCACCCTTGGTTGCATAGCCAGAAGTGTGGCTTCTAGATCGAGAGAGGTATTACTACCACTCTATACGACTCTGGTGTGCCTGCAACTGGAGTATTGTGTTCATTTCTGGGCCTCTCATTTCTTTGACAGGGCAGGGAGTGTTGTCCCTATCAAAAAAGAAAGAAAAATCCATAGTCTTGTCGGAAAAGACAAAACATATTTTAAAAGGAACTAGAGTTTTGACAGTTAGGGGTCAAAATGCCCATACTCCCATCATAGAGATGGCTCGTCCAGTTCCACTTTCCTCAGATCTGGAGAAAGGGTGGAAAAGTGTAACAAACCTGACAAAAGTCGGGGCCAAAAATTTCCCCTAGAGGATCTTACTGCAAAGGGGGTGATCTACAGGTCTGCTCCTTTCACAGATCACACACAGCTTCCATGACTCTTGACAGCTCACCTCTGACAGCTGTCAAGAAAAAGCAAAGTATGGGACCCAAGGAAGGAGAGAAGCCACACTCAACCCAGCTCATTGCTTCATCAACCTGCCCTACATAGCGTATTTGCAGGATGGGTTGTTGTGTCCTCCAGCCCAGCCCAGTAAGACTTCCTGCGTAGGAGGAAAGATGTGTGAATAGGATGGGGTTGTAACTCTCTCCTGCCGAAAGCTCCTGAACCACCTTTGGAGGCATCATTAGGAATGGCCACGAACAGCAAAGACCAAGTCATACCTCAGTGGCCCACTCCTTCTTCTGCTCCATTTGCCTCAGAGTGCTTTTGTCAATTTTTTCCTTGGTTTCTTCCAGAGCAAGTCTGAAAAATTCTTAAGTTGGAAACACACACACAATTAGAAGACATTTATGTTGATATAATGCGTATGATTTCAGGGAACGAGCCTGTGCCTTTTAGACAGAAATCAAGTCCTACAGCTGTGAGTCCTAGCATTTTTTCTGTCTAAATAGGCTCAGCACCACACCTCCATAATTGCTGAAAGTAACATTGACTTTTCTCCACTGTTTCTCAGCACGTAAATCAGTCTAATCCGTAGTGCAGATACCGTCTCATCCCAATAAAGCAAGGTATTTTTTAATCCCCCTTTGGATAAAAAGACCCAAAGCCTGGAGGGAAGGCAAAGCAAAATGATCATCTTTTTTGATACCTCTGTGGTATTCGGCTGGCGATACGGAGGAGGTGCTGACAGGACCAAAGGAGGTGTGGGAGAAGCAAACTCTGGGGTGCAAGATACCTACCACTGCTTCGTCCCTCCACGGATGGAGGAACCCCTGGAATGGGGCAAGGTTCAACGGCTGAGTTGCTTGCATTTATGCCCGGCTTGTGGGATTCCCAAATCAGCCCCTGTGGCAGCCACGCGCCGCACGGGATGGACCTTTGGTCTCTTCGTACATTCTTAGGAGCTGTTCCACGGAAGCTCTAAGCAGGCTTCCTCCTTCAAGGACTGACCTGATCGTGACTCACCTGTCATTTCTTCAAGGTCCTCTTTCAGCTTCTTGATGTCCATTTCGAGGTATTCTATCTGCTTGGCGTGTTCGGTACTCCCCACATTTTTGTATGCCAGCCAGTAATCCACCTCCGTCTGCTTCCGCAGAAGCTTTTGCTCAACATAATGTATCTGCAAGCGCACGTCTAGTTGGAAGAAACCAGCCAGAAGATATTATTACTGATTATTGTCTGTTTCCTTTCTATACCAACCCTTAGCCAAAGATTGCATCAATAGTAACAACTCTGGTTTAACAACAAATACGAATTATTCTTTTAATATGCGTGGTTGTGTGTCATCTACACTAGGAGTTCAGTTCAGGCAAAAAGGACCTGAAATGCTCACAGAAGTTTTTTTGTGCTTGATATTGTACCGTTAAAGCGGGGGGGGGGGGGATCCTGAATGTTACTTCCCATATAAATCCAATTTCTACAGGTCCACAAGTACTTGCCACCCCTTGTACAAGTACTTCTTGAGGTATGAATTGCCAAACGCTGTGCTTTGCTTGTGCTTCTCATAGCTGGGGTGCGAGCAGGACTTGGGCCTCAGCTTCCATCTTATGAACTCTTTAGTATTCAGGAGTTAAAGGCACACACGGGTTCTTCTGGGACCGCTCATCAACGACCCACTCTACGGTTCTGGCAACCAGGGCAAAACTGAGACAACCTCTCTTCTGTTGCAGAGATCCACCCTTTTCCAAGTTGTGAGAACTTCCGAGAGGCAGCAGTACAAAGCTCACTTTCCCTTGGATGGAGGGAGAGTGCTGTAGGCTTCAGTTAAGGTTCCCAACACGGCACAGGGAACCACAGTGGCACCCAGGTTGATCTCCATTCTTGGCCCTTGCAAAAACTCAGTTTTAAAAACTTTAAAGGCCTTAGAGTGCCAGGCTCCCATTCCCGTTCCTGAACCTGCTGCTCATCAGCTGCTCCATGGCCAGGAAGAAAATTAAAGAGTTGCTTCCTGGCCTCTGCCAACCGTCTCCCATCTACACAGGCTTTTCCCATCTCCACTCCCAGCTGCTAGCCTCACAGTTTCTTCCCACCCAGCCCACTCCTCGCTATTTCTGCCCCATCCCTGCCCCCCTTCGTCTCCCTTCCTGGCCTCCAGCCTTGCTCTTTCTCTCCCGCTGCTGCTTTGTGCTGCTGTTTCTCCCTGCCTCCTTCCCTTTAGCCTTGCCATTTCCCATCTCCTTTGATTAGCCGGGCTCCCACCCCAGCTATTATGGGCCCAGCCACATCTTCCAAGGGAGCCATTTTGTGGAAGTGCCCACAGCTGTTTCTCAAATTCTTAAGCTAGCCCATTGGTCCAAAAAGTTTGGAAGGCCCTGTTTACAGACTCTTTGCCGCATTTGCTTTAATTACGGTTTTCCCCAGCCTTTCATGCCCTGGAGCTGTTGAATTTAGAATGCTGATTGTCCCCAGCCACTGTGCCATGCTGACTGGGGAAGATAGGAATTGCAGTACAACTCATCCTGAGAATGCTAGGTTGGGGAAGGCTAGAGCGTAAAGGGAAGTGCATTGCACCTACGGGATGCCCACACAAGGTTCTCAGAGAGATGCTTCACAGTTTCGGCTAACACATCTCCCTCTTTCCTCTGGGTTCAGACAAAACAAAAGCCTACACTCAAGGGTTGACTTTTGTTGAAATGTGGGTTATTGTGTTTTCTGAACCTAGGAAAATAGCTGTGAGGAATACTCATGGCTTACTGTTAGGTTGCGAACTGTGAATCGTGCACCATGGTTTGTTAGCTTGGCTGAGTTCAGACCAGATGATAAACCATGGTTCCACAACAACCTGCTTTCAAGCCATACTCCGTCCTGAGTGTGGGTTCTCTGAATCTGTGTTCTGAACGGCAAGGCTGGCAGATTTTCATAGACACCTGCATCTCATCTTCAGCCAGCTACTTTTGCTTTTTCTGACATACCCCTGGACCTAAAGTGAATTCTTGGCAGGCCCAGGCCCCTGGGGATTGATGGCAGGCCGGGCATATAGCGCAGAAACGGCAAATCACCTTTAATAAGTTTATCCTGGTCTTTGACATACTGCCATTTCTCCTTCATTGCTTTTTCTACATCATCTCTGGTAACAATTTCAATTTTCTCCAGTTCCTTCTCCTGTTCTTTTAGGCTGGTTAGGAGTGCCCGGATGTGTCCAATCTGTTCTTCTTTTAAGTGCTGGTTCTGAAAGAGGAGGCCCAGTTAAACATTTTAAATATTAACCAATTCATTATCTGTGCCCTTTACTATCCTTCTTCTCCACTGACCATGTTAAGCTTATTCGTTAAATTTATATCCCACCAGCTTTTATCTTGCAAAAACCCAAGGCAACTTATGAAATCTTCCTCCTCTTCATTGTTCTCTCCTCACAACAACCCTGTGAGGTAGGCCAGGCTTACACAACAATGCACATTTTATGTCAATGTTTTATATAAACATGGAATATAAATTGAGTTAATAAACAATAAATGAGAGCATTCACACAATAACCATTAACCAACCAATATCAAAAATGAAGTAAGAACTGAGAGCCAATGTGGTGTGCTGATTAGAGGGTTCAACTGGGGACTTGAGAGATCTGGGTTCGAGTCCCCGCTCAGCCATGCAGCTCCCTGGGTGACTTTGGGCCAGTCACTCACTCTCAGCCTAACCTGCCTCACAGGGTTGTTGTTGGAAGTATAACACAGAGTGGAAATGGACTGTGTAAGCCATCTTGGATTCCCTATAAGGGGAAAATGTGTGGTATAACTATAATGTAATAATGACAATAATGATCTTACTATCCCACTTTTTCCCTCCAAAGACTGCTTATGTGATTCTCCTCCTCTCCACCTAATCTTCACAACAACCTTGCGAGGTGGGTTAGGCTGAGAGTCTGTGAGGGGCTTAAAGCCACCCAGAACACTTCATGGCCAAAGAGGCACTCAGACCCCACGTCCCCTGAGTCCCAGGCCTGCACCTCGCTACCCTGCCACTCTGGCTCTCCATCTGCTACTGGTTCGCCCTCATCCTGCTCGATAAAGAACATCTCAGACTCCACACAGAAGTCAGTTTTCTGGATTCCATGCAGCCGACGTGTTGCTCATGTGGAGAGGCAGAAAAGGGCTGCGTCTCGTGTGCCTCCCTGTCCCCATCCCTGCGATGTGGGGTCTTATTTTCTCGTTCATTCACTCACTCACTCACTTCTAGGCCAGCCAATGGCTGAAGTTCTCTGCAACTGCTTGCAACAATGGAAGCCAGGCAAGGCAAGGCAAGGCAAGGCAAACATAAAGGTTTAGGGGTACAGTACAAAGGAGAAGTAAACACCAAGCCAAATCCTAGGAGCAATATCAAGATTAAAATACAATAACAGATTTAATACAGAAAGTAAAATACTAAAGTGCCTGAGGAGAAAATAAATTCTTCACCCACTATTAGAAAAATCACAATTTAGGTGCCAAGCAAGCCCCTCTGATAAGATCATGCTACAGCTGGGGTGCCACAACCAAGGATGCCCCGTTCTTTGTAGCAGTGCACCTCACTTTCTTTGCAGGTGGCTCCTGAAGAAGGTTGTCTGAGGACATTCTTAGGGTTTGTACGGTATATAAGGGAAGGGCTGATCCTTCAGGTAACCTGATCCCAAATGATTTAGGGCCTTGAATGTCAATACCAGCACTCTGAAACTGGCACCCAGTGTGGATGGAAAAGTGTTAGAATAGCATCATCCCATGGACCAGTCCTCATTGGAAACCTGGTTTCCTTAGTTTGAACCAGCTGAAGTTTCTGGGCCATTTTCAAAGGTAGCCCCATGCATCATACAGAAATACAACATGGGAACGCAGGAATTTGTTAAACTCTGGGTGATAACAGCTCTCCTGGGTCTTGGGCACAGGGGCCAGAGTTGGGTTGTCATCACTGGGCACTTGCTCAGGGCACACCCTGTGAAGTGGGCACTGCCAACCTCTGGAGCCCTGTGGCATTCACAGTCTGCCTCAGTGCCATCGCTGCCTCTCCACTGGTCAGTGAGTGACGGAGGAGAGGAACCTTCAGGGCATGTGGTCAAGCCCCACCCACACCTGAACCCCATCACCTGTTGCCTGATCCATCGTCGTGAAATCACCCAGGATCACCTACAAACATCTTCACCATTGAATGATGCCCCCTCACCACCAAACTAAAGGGGGGGGGGGAGAGTTTGCTTACCCTTTCTTTGCATCTGTCATTCTTTGCTTCCTGGGTTTTTATGTCATAGAGAAGCTGATCAATGATCTCCTCCTTGATCTGAATTCTGAAGAGAAAAGCCCCCACACAGTGAATTTCCAGGCTACCAGGTAAACCTACTCAAGACCCACCTGGGCAGGAGGATGTAATAGATGAGTCAACTGTACATGCACCTTGCAGTGGAGCGCTTCCAAACGCTTGTACCCCAGAGCTTGGAAATTAAAAATGGAGGCAGTCTTCTCCAAGCTGGAACCTTCTAGATGTGCTTAGCTCCAACTCCAACATTCTCGTATGTCAGCCATGCTAGCAGGGTTGATGGGAGTTGAAGTCCAAAATGACTTCAGATCCCGAGGGTGTGGAATGGGCTTCCACGGGAGGTGGAATGGGCCCCATCGGTGAGGGTGTTCAAAGATGGTGGGCATGTAGTGAGCGGAGCCGGTTGGAACCCGGGGTCAGACTAGATGGCCCAGGAGACCCCGTCTGACTCACTCTGTTTCTATGTTTCTAACTTGATGGTACCAGGTCATCCCATTTAGTAGATTTGCATGGTACGCATCTAGCAAGTGGTCTTAGGCTTGTTTCCAGTTGGGGAAAGTTTGAAGAAAGCAGCGGTACTGGATTAAATATGCACAGCTATCAACCTGCCTTTTCTTTGCACAATGCGGGAACCCCGAAGCTGGGACCAGCATGCACACACCAGCTCTTACCTTCTAATTCATAATTCTGTTAGCATGTCTCTTGTGTGGCTTATCTTAAGCTTCAAAGTAGGATCATGTACACATGAAACAGAAAATGAAAAAACCGGCCAACTATGGAAGCTCCTCCAGACACCTCCCCAGTGCTTGTGTTCCCGCCTGTATTCTCCATCTACTCACCGGTGAAATGCACATTATTTATTTATTTTATTTATTGAAAGCTTTTCTAGGCCATCCACTACAAGTGTTTAGGGATGGCTTACAAGAAAAAGAAAGGAAAAAACCCTGAAAATATAAAACAAAACAAGGCACTGCATCCAACCTCAATAATAAAGCCCAGAATAAAACCAATGAAATGTTAAATGCTGTGAAAATAAAGAGGGTTTTGCCTGATGTTGAAAAGAATACAGCAACGGCCAGCCACGCAAACCCTCCTGAGGAGCACATTCCAGAGCTGGAGTGCCACCTGCGTCATTGTATCACCGCCTGCCTGTGCCATTTTCTCTAACAAAACTGAGACCAAACTTTCTGCCCAGAATGTCCTGTTCCAGATCTCCTACATGTCTTCCAGCACTTCCCCATACCATAGCGGAAGAATATTGGGGCTGAAAGAGCAAAGGAAATGTGATTGCACAGGGGCTAAGCTGCAATGGCACAGAACGTAGGAGCATCATGTGAATTATTTAAGGGCAAAATGTCCCACTTGATTTTTTAGATACTAAAAGAACGCGGGACTGCAGCCAAGAAATTAAAAGACGCTTGCTCCTGGGGAGGAAAGCTATGGCAAATCTGGACAGCATACTAAAAAGCAGAGACATCACCCTGCCGACAAAAGTGCGTATAGTCCAGGCTATGGTTTTCCCAGTTGCAATGTATGGCTGTGAAAGCTGGACCATAAGGAAGGCTGAGTGCCGAAGGATTGAGGCCTTTGAATTGTGGTGCTGGAGGAGACTCCTGCGAGTCCCTTGGACTGCAAGGCGATCAAACCAGTCAGTCTTAGAAGAGATCTACCCAGATACTGATTGTTGTTAGTCGCGAAGTTGCGTCCGATCCATCGCGACCCCATGGACAACATTCCTCCAGGCCTTCCTGCCCTCCACCATCCCCCGGAGTCCACCCAAGCTCACACCAACTGCTTCAGTGGCCCCATCCAGCCACCTCATCCTCTGCCGTCCCCTTCTTCTTTTGCCAACTATTGTTCCCAGCATTAGGCTCTTCTCCAGGGAGTCCTTCCTTCTCATTAGGTGGCCAAAGTATTTGAGTTTCACCTTCAGGATCTGGCCTGCTGAAGAGCAGTCAGGGTTGATCTCCTCTCGGACTGACCGGTTTGATCGCCTTGCAGTCCAAGGGACTCGCAGGAATCTCCGCCAGCACCACAATTCAAGGGCCTCAATTCTTCTGCGCTCAGCTTTAAAAAGCTGGGAATGCTTGCTCCCTTTTCACTCCCCAAAACACTGCTTAGTAACCCGTTCACAGGATCACTGCTTGGGTAACAGGCATGCTGGTTAAGCTGTCGAATTGGACTTGCTGGGGGCAGTTCCTTATGTCATCCAAATGCAGGAAAGATGGTGTGTTGGGATAGTTAACAAACCACACAGAACGCCTGGCCTGTGACAGGGTTGTGGGTGGGTTTGTTAACCACCCCAAGAAGACACCCTAGTTGAGTTCAGTCACCAGAAGCTACAGTTGTGCAGCTTTGTTTGGCCACCTGGTGCAGAAGCCCAACGTGCACTTCTAATAACAGAACACTAAAAAAGACATTACTTAGCTAGAGATATTCTCCCTCAGCTTGAAGGAAGATAAACAAGACAGAGTGTCAGCTTCCTGCTGCCCATAAAAATGACAAACCAGGCAACAACCCACCAGACATTCCTGCAACAAGCTCCAAATTCCCGACATGTTTATACGTACTGATATGCCAACAGAGCTTCTGGAAAGTAAGTTCGAGGTTCCTTGGACAGCTGTGAAGTGCCCTTTTTTTTCTTGTCCTTCTTCTTCTTTTCTTTTGCCATGGTTTGTTTCGGTCAAAGTGAAATAGGTCTAGGAGAAACGAGCAAGGCACACCAATACTGCAATGGATTGCTGCTCTGGGGAGTACAACCCTATGCATCTTTCCTAAGAAATAAATGCCGCTGAATGTTCAAGGCTGCAACCTGAATAACAATTTATCTCTCTGGCGCTTCCAGACTTTCAGAAGTCATATAACTTTGCTCCATGACAACTGTGGGAGATCTCATTTCATTTTTATAGATGGAAAGCTAAGAACAAGAGATAGTATAACTTTCCTAACACTTTTCAGTGAGCTAACTAACATGGTTAAAGTTTGAGTGGCTTAAATAATTGAGATAAGTTTTTAGCATGCAACTGAGAGTTAAAGAAACCATTTAAAATGACATTTTGATTCTTGGTTTGTTACTGTTGATAAAAAATGGTCTATAAAGGGGGGCAAAATCTGCATTTGCTATGAGACAGCACCAACACTGACCAATTCCTTGCCTATAAAACTTAAATAGCCATGTAATATGCCATGTATATATAATTATACACATGCACGCATGCACATTGTATATGTAATGCATATTATACTAATTCTTTCCACTTTATTTAATTTCTATACTGCCCATACCCCAAAACAGCTCTCTGGCCAGTTCTGCTGTTGGACTATTGTGATAAAAATGGTCTTTTAGTAAAGATGCACAAGCACTGTTGTTCTAACATCTCATTTTCAGTCATTTCCCCTCGATTATTCCTAAGTACACTGCCCTTCAAGTCACCCACAGTCAATAATGCATTACAACATTTAAACTATCGTTATTTTCAGTCAGATGCCTTCATAACTAATTCTTCATGACAATTAAATGTTTATCTCCCAAAGGCCTCAACTGCAGTTTCCTTTCTCTGTAATTACAGAGACACAACCGTTGCACAGAATCCCTCACTGACGTGCAGGTTCTGTCTATTCCATTGTACCAGCATTTCTCTCTCTCCCTGCAATGGAAAGCACCATGGAAAGTGACAGTGAGAAGTCACTACTGCCTGAAGCAAGCCGGGAAACAAGTGGTAATGCTAGGCATGTCATGAGCGGAGCCAGATGGAGCCAGGGGTCAGACTAGATGGCCCGGGAGACCCCTTCTGACTCGCTCTGTTTCTGTTTCTATTTCCAGTTCAGGAAAGGACACATCCCTCCTGTGAGCTCAGCTGGGCTGCTCCATTCCAGAAACAAATGCTTCCACCTCCCCCTAGCAGCAGTGGTGCCCTGTTGGCATATGGGCAGTCAGGATATGGCCCACGGAAACCAGCACGCTAGCTGCTCACCCACGGTTAATCCTAACTGAACTCTCCTTCAAGAGGAACCATTACTCATAACTTTAAAGGTTAGAAATAAAAAGAAGGGATATCCCAGAGCATATCCTTGTGATCTTTTGGATTAGTTGGCATGGGAAGCTCCTTCACCATCCTCTACCCAGAACCTGCTTTCAGTGCACACTTCTTTGGTACCTCCGTATGAGCCCCGCTTCTTCCCCTCCGGCCGTCCCTTGGGGACCCACCAGCACAAACATTATCTTACCAACGTGTTTTCTCCGGCTACCACTGGCAGCTGCCTTCTGTTTGGTTCCAGTTTCCAACTCTCCCAGTTACCGCGGTAACTGCATCCCAGTGGCCACGAAAGGCCAATCGGCTGCCTTCCCCAGTAATTTCTCCATTGAGCTCTCTTTTCTTCCTTCTTCCTGAAATAGGACCAGCTTTTATGAGGGAACGTCTCCCTCTTGTGCCTCTGCTAGGAAACTACTTACCTTTTCAGTCATAATAAATGATTCAGACCGTACGGAAGCACTCAAGGAAATCCTCTTTAAAATCAGCATTAATAATGGCGGACTTTTAAAAATATTTAACAGGCCTGTTCATGAGCTAATTAATAGATCTTACTTTCTTAATCATCTGCTTTTATTTAATTGTTACATGTGTTCCCATATTTCTGTTGTGGAATGCACTCAGGTTACAAAGATGGTTCTGTGTAAACAAATGTGTATCATATAAAACATGGGTCCTCAAACTACGGCCCGCAGGCCGGATCCAGCCCACTATGCCCGTTTATCTGGCCTGCCTCAGAGGTTTGGACTCCCTGTGCCCACACCCGCGCCTGCGGCCACTGCCCACCTCGCCATGCGCATGGCGAAGTGGCGGCTCGCTCGCTCAGAGATCGTTTTGGACTCAGAGATCTGCAAGCGAGCCAGATGCCACCTCGCGGGGCGTGTGGCGCCGCTGCTGCCACCTCACCAGCCCATGCCAGCCGCCTCCGCCTTTCAACTGGCCCCCTGTGGGAAAACTTTGAGGACCCCTGATATGAACAGTGTAAGAGAGGAGTCTCGCAACTTTGTATTTGCCTGACTCCTCTCTTGAAGACAAAGGCCATTAAAATATGCCTGGCAACCCTATGGATCGGTTTAAGATGCTGAAGGAATGATTGCCTCACAATTGTGAATCCTTCATAATTTAATCCATTAAACTTCCCTAGCTGCCTGTTCATGACTTGGTCAGATTTAAGGTTTTGGCACTAGTGTATAAAAAGCCCCAAACTACTTAGGACCGGGATACATGAGAGGATGCCTCTGTCAACCTGCCCAGCCAGTGAGATCATCAGGTGGGACGTTCCTGGTGTTTCCACATGGACCTATGGCTTGATTTGCAGAAGGACCTTGATTTGAGAGGGGCCTTCAGTGTGGTGGCCCCACATCTCTGGAACTCTTTTATCCTATTAGTTTCATGCTTTTATCTGCTTTTTTATTGCTCACCACTCCAGAATCTCTGTATCTTGAGAATATACATATATTTAAAGGCAATACACCATCCAATATCCTGCATAGATTTGAGTCTTCTATTTGTAGGCATGCATGAGACCTGCTATGCTGATATTTATTTCTGAGTTGACTGGGGTAGAACCAAACTATGCTTTGTGGGCCTGAAAGCTGTTATGCTGAGGTTTTCTCCTGAGTAGAACTGTGTGGAACTGAGTTGTGCTTTGCATCCATGGGAAGAATTCCAGGAGAGAAAGGGTTGTGAAGAAGTCCTCAAAGCCAGCCTTAGTGGGATTTCCCAATCCATAGTACCATTTATCATCAGGAGCTCCGTGGAAAGAATTCCAGAAGAGAATCCCAGAAGGAGCCATTTCATCCCAATGGAATTTTATTTGTTAATATTGCTTATTGCCATTTTCCTATTTTTACCTTCCTGACAAGGTTTTGTATCTTGAAAATAAATAATTTTAATAAATAGGGGGATTATTTTATAAGATTTGGCCTCCTCTGAATCATTTAGGTCCTTTTTGGGAAATTTTATTTGGTTTATATAAGTATCCCCAGAGGGCTGTTAAAAATGAGAGGAATGGCAATTGATTAAAGCTTACTTGGTAAAGCTTTGCTGGCCCCTGTATCTTCATTTTGAGCCCAATGCACTGCACTCCCCCCCCCCCCCAAAAAATCATGTCTAACCAACACATGCTTGGCGCAATGGAGTTCCATTCAACCTTCGCCCAGCACTGTGACAGGAGTTTGTCTCTAAAGAGCTCCTTTTCCTCTGGAATCGCCACCCTGTTTTCATGCTGCTTTGGCAAAACTGGGGACTTACAGGGTGAGACTTCTGCTGTCAGAAGTGGGACCCCTATGCCACAATACCCGCCTTCTAGGGCCATATTAAAAAGGCTTGCCGTGAAATTCAGAAACCATTTCCTGTTTTCCCACTCAGGGTGCCACCTGAAGCAGTTTGCTCTGTTTAATTTTCAGGGAGAATTGGCCTGAGTACTTGATGCTATGGCAGGTTTTCTAAGAATTAGACTCCTGGCCCTTCAACTATAGCTAATCGATGGGATACCACAGCCAGAATTCCTGGCTTCGGTGCCCTTACATAGGATTAGGTCTCCATTCTCTTTCACTGCCACAGCAGAAATGGTTCACCGAAGTCACAGGCTTTTTGCACCCAGCTCAAGTGTGAAGCAATACCTCCGACTCTGCTTTGGTCCTTCTGGACCTCAAATGTTGCTTCACCACTCCAGAACATCTCACCTTAGGATTGTTTGGTGTCTAGATTAATGGAATGACAGAGGACTTTTGGCCTACAGCTGCCATAAATCCTCACCTTTGGCTATGCTACCTAGAAACTGGTTGTTGTTGTTGTTAGATGCAAAGTCGCGTCTGACACATTGCGACCCCATGGACAACATTTCTCCAGGCCTTCCTGTCCTCCACCATCCCCCAGAGTCCACTCAAGCTCACTCCAACTGCTTCAGTGGCCCCATCTAGCCACCTCATTCTCTGCCATCCCCTTCTCCTTTTGCCCTCAATCATTCCCAGCATCAGGCTCTTCTCCAGGGAGTCCTTCCTTCTCATTAGGTGGCCAAAGTATTTGAGCTTCATCTTCAGGATCTGGCCTTCTAAAGAGCAGTCAGGGTTGATCTCCTCTTGGACTGACCGGTTTGATCGCCTTGCGGTCCAAGGGACTCGCAGGAGTCTCCTCCAGCACCACAATTCAAAGGCCTCAATCCTTTTGCACTCAGCCTTCCGTATGGTCCAGCTTTCACAGCCATACATTGCAACTGGGAAAACCATAGCCTTGACTATACGCACTTTTGTTGGCAGGGTGATGTCTCTGCTTTTTAGTATTCTGTCTAGATTTGGCATAGATCAAAACATCTGGTAGGCCACAAGTTGGTCAACCTAGAACCAGAAAACCTATGAAGAATGGGCCCCGATGAACCTGAGAAACACATGATTGTGTTCCTCAGAGCTGTGAAATCTCAAAGGAAATGCTTTAAACAGGAAGTGCAAACACACCCTTCTGCTTGCTAAAAGGCCCCAGAGATTCTGGGTGGCCCTGTCTGAGTCATTGATTAAACTATCTGATCTCTTCAAGATCTGTGTTGTGGGTTGACCGGTGCTGCCACATTCTCCACCAAAGATCCCCTCCTACAACATCAATATTTGCCAAAGGTTAATTTCACTTTGCAACAGAAGGAGGG